AAAAAACAAAGTCTTGTAACACTTGTTGAGTTTTTAATAAATTTAGAACGTTGAGTTCGTTTACATTCCTGGAAATTATGACAAGTTCATAGAAAGTGCAATAAGACTAGCATTTTAAGGTTAAAAATTATTCACGCAGATTATTTCGGTATAATTTAGCTGGCAGTACGGTACGTAGATCATTAGCATATTAGCAAACTCATTAGAATTTTTAACCCCAGTTGTTGGAAAACGTTCTACTATAACCATGCTTCGGAATATGCACATATGCAAATTAGAAGTTTTGATACCAACCATATTTGGAATTTTGAGTTTGTTTCAAGATGGCCCCTATTCTCACTGACAGTTTTCAAAGGAGATTTACTGAATCTTTCAATCAAACATCTGAGATATCTGTCTTTAATTTAGTTTTGGGAATTTTTGAAGCAAGAGGGTGTGATTTACTGGAAGGAACACTTCCTGCACTTCCTCTCCTATCTAAATCCAAACCTACTGTGAGCTGAAACATGCCAAGTGTGCCAAGCGATCCAGGCATATTCTAACTTTTATTCATGTACATTTTTATAAAAATGTGTAAAAATATCTCTGCTAATGACTAGACTATTTGTTAACATTTGGTATTCATCAGATCACGTGCTGACTTGGCAAAAGGCAACCTGAAGATTTTATCTTTATGTTTTCATTGCCCTGATCAAATACTGTAAAAGCCTCCATTTTATTTAAATTTTGGCCTCATTGACTCAACTTTTATTCAAATCTGGCATTTATTCGGGGCCAGGCATTTATTCAAGTAAATACAGTACATTATGACATAATGCTCGTGATGATTCATATTGAAATATAATTGTACTTTGATACACATTATTATGTACATACACGTATAATATATGCAAAAGTTTTAGTCAAAATGAATGCAAAGTTCTATTATTGGTTTTTGATTTTGCAGTTGATTTTACTAGAAGGTATAAGGATAGATAAAAACATGCTAGAAGGAATATGTGATAGGCTATATGATAATGAATGATAAACTGTCATGACAACTATAATTGTCACGGTTGTTACTCATGCCAGCCTAGTACAATCTTTACCATCAGACAAAATGAATAATACTTATCACTTATCTGCTCAGTGGTTTAGCTATGCATTTGTATGAGACTAAAAACATTACTCACATAAAGATTATAAAGGTATGCAAGCCACAGTTCAATACATTAACCAATAACATCCTATCCCATTTTTACTGGTTCTGTAGCCATTACTGAATCTTACCACAAAACCCATTGGATCTGATGACAAATCCCTTTATTCTTAAAGGGCTTTTTAAAAATTAAAAGAATATCTGCAAAGTAGAGTGCGAAACCTGGAGCGTTACGTCATTTCTGTGAGGTTTCACATCTGAAACGCTTGACTAAATAATTTTGTACAGATTACTTTATCTGACAATATATCTTGCTAAAAGTATAATAGTAGTAATCATAGTTACCTAGATTTGGGTCTTCTAAGTCGAGTTGGAGGTAATTCTAGTGGTTCAACGCGATCGGAATCTGAGTCAGTCGGCTTTTCTTCGCCGGAATACGATATCAGGAGTTTATTTTCTTGGTCCTTTCGAAAACCATTCATCTTGGACTTCTTGGAGTTTTTAGGAAAATCCATTTTTAGTACACCAATAAATATTGACAAATAAAGTGTACTGATTCAAAAAGAATCAAACTCCAATTGGTGGTAAACTTCTTCGTCATTCATGTAATTTGAAGTAAGCTTAATTACCAGAGAATGGAGTAACTTCATTCACCAAATGAGCGAATCCAACTTCATCTTCGATTAACTAGTTGATGCCCAGTGATGTAAACCCTTTGGTCAATAGCTTCTTTTTTCTTGTTATTATGCACCAAAAGTCGAGAACTTTCGTGGGTTTTTACCGTGTAATTTTCAATAAATCTCCGTCAAGTCAAACAAGACAAACGTTCATCTCGATGCCATCTTGTATTTCTCTTTTAGACACTCTCGTGCCTCGACTTGGCACAGCCAATACCCCCTATCACCCCTCCTGGGGGATTACGAACCCTAACTGGACCCCAGAGGGAAAGCTTTTGAGCTTTATTATTCTATCTATCCTATTTTCATTATTTGTTAAATTTTGGGAAAGAAATTTAGAAGAAAAAAAGGATAATCATTTTAACTTATCAACACTTATCAATGTTTTATTTCTGTTTTATTTTTGTCATTTTTGTAACAAAACTAACTTTGTTTCAAAATCCAGAATTGTACCCTTAGAAGATATCTACTGTTTTAATTTCTTTGTTTTTTTCTGTCGTAAGAAGTCTTGTTAAAGAAAAAATGAAATGATAAGAGTACAAAGATAAAACACATTGGAGGGGAGGTAGAGGCAGTTTTGCTTTAAAATATCACTTTCCCTTGGGGGGTAGGAAGAGTAAGGCAAGTGAAGAAGAGAGTTGACTGGCAGATGGCCAAACGACCAAAGACCTTTTGATCTCTTCGTTCGTTGGGATTTTGACTTTTTTCCAAGTCTTGACATCCTTTCCTAGCCAAACCTGAAGGAAAGTCTAGTTGAGCATAGAAGTCAAGTTCGTTCTAACAACACAAAGTTTTTGTCTTTTAATGGAGGAGTTTGAGCTGGTGTTGTGGCGCGAAGCAAGGCGACAAATCAAGATGTCAGAGCCAACATTTGGTTGTATTTATTTGCGTTGGAGTTCATTTGGTGTGTGGGCCGCTACACGAGACAGGTATGTGCACAAAACACTTTCTTGTTTATCTCAAATATGTGTTCTCTTCCACAACTACTGTGTTTCTTTGAGCTAGCATTTTTACCTCTCCAATTTCGCTGTTGCTTATTTAAACAGTTGTGAATGAAGATGGAAAAGATGTGTGAAAAACCCTCACTAAAGAAGTGTTGTTTATTCGAAAAACTCCGTGCTGGGTGCAAGGGTTTTCCTAGTTGTCATACCGAAATTTTTGAAATAATTTTAAAGACGCGAAGGGAAAATTTCAGCAAATCGAACACCTGACTCTAAAAACTCGAATTTCAAAGTGTTTTCTTCGATAATTTTTGTTTTTCAAGGCAAACATTCAAGTAATTTATGCAAGAACCATTTATTCTATTGATATTTTATGTTTTTAGTACTCTTTGTTGATCTTGATAATTTTAGACATTATATTCCTTATATATGCTTAGGATCATATTTTGAGCTTATGTGAAAAGATTGTAAAAAATACTAATTATTGCTCAATAAATATGAAATAGTTGATATAAATACTCTATCCATCTATCTTCTGTAATGTGATTCATGAGCGTCATTATGCATGTGACTGTAGTAATACTGATATTAGGAAATGAGAAAACCTGGATTGGATCTAATGGATTATATTTAGCATTAAGATATTAAAGAAAGAAAACTTTATATTTGACCAAATATGTGAAAAAATAGAAAAATTGCAGGTATATGTTGTTTTGCTCACTGAACTGGGTCCTGATAACTGGGCGGTTATCCAAATTCTAGGCCACTTTTCAGGAATATGATACATTGTCTGGCTCAAGGCATGTTTCAAGCTCATATTATTGCCAAATATTTTCATTTCATGTATAAATCATTGAAAAGACAAATTTTTGGCTGACATTGATGTTTTTATTTAACCATGTTTCTATCAGTTGGACCTAACCCAGCAAACTAACCATTTGTGCTTTGTAAGATAATTTGTATTGCCCAATAGAGAAGCATTTGTAATACTGATACGCCCAGTTATTGGCTGCCCAGACAAGACAGTTAGGTCACTTTAGATAACCTTTACTGTTTGAATAATGCTAAGAAATGTCACCCATATATATCTTAGTCAACCAGTATCCAATAAGGTAGAGGAAGGACTTACTAAAGTATACATGATACTAATGAAGATATAGAAAAAAATGTAGAGATTTTAAAAATTGATCCCATTCTTACAGGGTATATAATTATTTTAACAACAATAGCCAAAAACATATTTTTCATTAGTTGTATATCAAATATACATGTAAGGAAATTTTTCTTGATTTTGGACATATTTTCTTGTTTTAAATAAGCTTATTAGATGAATAGATAACACTCTCTATATACAATCTATAGTATATCACCCTTACAGCATTTTACTACCTTAACACAAACTGATATACAATTTGGCTTTTGGGAAGCCTGGGTGGCACAGAGTTGAGAGCGCTCACCTTTGATCAATTCGAAATGGGTTTGAGTCTTGCTGGGCTCGGCATTGTATGTGAGTACAGTTTCTAGTAGGTTCTATTCTATGACTTGAGGGTTTTTCTCCGGGTTATTTGGTTTTCCTCTCTTCACAAAAGTTAATTCAATCTCCCGAATTCTAATTTGATCATTGAACTAGAGCCACTGAGGTTTCTTAGCCACTGGTTAGTTTTATGCTTGTAACAAGATCAATTTTTTTATATTCTAAAATAAGAGAACTGTATGATAAAATTAAATTTAGACAGAGACTTAGATAACTTGTGTCTGCATCTTATTGCATCATTAGGGCAGCCATTAGTATGGAGTTTGTTGGTTCTATATCTTACTCCAAGAGTTTTTCTGCTTTTGGTTTTTTCTCTGTTCTCTCAAACCAGCCCTAACTAATTCAAACTGGTTAGTACTGTTTTCTGGAGTCATACATTTACAGTATAGCAGCTGCCAGAGGCCTGTGCCTTTACACTGCTTTAATTAAGTTTGACCTTGTTAAACTGTTAAGCTGTTGTACACTGATGCACTGATGTGATTAAAATACTTACAGTAATCAAGTTTAAAGGGTCAGAAAAACATGTACTTTTGCCAAATCAGATATTTATGTGCCGTGGTGATGAAAAATTATCTAACTTTATATGAGGGTTTAAAAATATATGATCTCCAGCAAAATTGGCCTTACCCATTCAATGATGAATCACTTAACTTTGGTTAATAAATTCATTTTTTGATAGAAATTTTGTGATTTTTAAATGAGACATTAGGTGTTAATATATATTTATTAAATTAGACACGCAACAGCCGACTAATTTTTTACCATTTTTATTGTTATGGACTTATATTTTTCAGTCTGGGTTTTTCAGGCATTAAAAATCATTCTTTTGTGTATCATATTGTTGTGTGTTGGTATCCTGTAGATTCAGTTTGGGATACCTGTGGTCTAAACCATTGTAATGTTATGTGTGCGTAAAGCATGTTGTTGTGCATAAATACCCAGTAGCTTCAGTTTGGGATTCCTGTGGTTTAAACCATTGTAATGTTATGTGTGCGTAAAGCATATTGTTGTGCGTAGGTATCCTGTAGATTCAGTTTGGGATACCTGTGATTTAAACCATTGTAATGTTATGTGTGCGTAAAGCATATTGTTGTGTGTAGGTACCCAGTAGCTTCAGTTTGTATGTGTGCGTAAAGCATGTTATTGTGTTTAGGTACACAGTAGCTTCAGTTTGGGATACCTGTGGTTTAAACCCAACACAGGAATCCTGCTTGATTTTTAAAAAAACTACTCTGAAATGCACAGAAAACATCGCTTTCGCTTTGGGACAAATTATAGACCTAGAACAGATTTTAAAAACTACCATGTAGTGAAAGTTAGATCAAGAAGTATTCTTCAAGAATTCATGTGTGTGTTTTTTAGCAAACAATTACATATTTTCTTTGACAAGCAGTTTCTTTCCACAAATCAAAGACTTTCTTTCAAAACTTTTAATATTTTATAGATAAGCTTAATTTATTTTAATGCTGAATGAAAAATAGAAAGGAGCTTCAACAAATATTTGCCCTTTAGTTAAGGCTTTTACGTAAGGAATAAAAATATTTCAATAAAGAATTAGGATAAGAAAATTATTTTTTAACTGATGACACATTTGATTTTAACGTTCAGGGCCTTCATTTCTCAAGTTTAGTTAGTTAATGATCTCCAGCCAATTTTCTCTCTGATGCTACCAAAGCATATTTTATATTTTCTTAATTTCATTGCAAAAAAAATAGATTATAAAAACAAAAAGCTCTTTATATGGGATAACCAAACGTTGTTATGTAAAAAAAGAAAAAGTATTTTTTGCTCACCTTTTCTTAACCAGTTTTGAAGTCTGCCTAATGCTGTTCATTTGTTCATCAAAAGTTCGGAAATCTCCAAAATTTGGATTTTAATGAAAGACGTGTGAAGAAAATGATGTAGTGCATTTCATTATGGGGGACAACATCTTCATCCCAAAGAAAAAAAATTAAAGATTTTTTGCTCGATTTTATTTTTGTCTTTCAGATTTATCTAAATTGGCTCCATGTGCCTATTGGGAGCTCAGCTTATAGGCAGTGCCTGAATAATTATTTATATATTATGAATTTTTGTACATCAGTCATCAATTAAGCACCTGTTGCTTAGTTCTATCATTTAATTTTTATCAGTTTTGATTATTTGTATTATAGCTTCTCAGTTTCCCTAACTAGTGTGATAGCCAATTATTTAACAATTATTCGCCAAAGGCGAAGTGAATATCGGGGAATATTTGCCGAGACACGAGTCTTCGAGTGGCGAGGTAAATATTCACCATAAACACTGAGCCTGAGGCAAATAATTGTTTTAATATGAATACGCAGGTGATTCATCAAAAAAAAAGAAGATAAGATTATCGCTAAAAACATTAGTAAGCTAATTAGCATTGTATGGTGCCTTTTTAAAAGATTTTAGGAGAAATTTTCATTTTCAAGTCATGTGCTCTTTGGGCCTTTTAAATTTAAAATTCTTAAGAAATATCAAATTAGATTTAGGTTTTTATTTCTATTTGTGTGTCTGATCATTTGCATTCATTGATTACAAGTGGGTTTTTCTTTTGTTTTTGGCCTTATGGCATTGAAGCCTCTTGATAACCTCTTGATACTGCAGGTAGTCGAAAAAGATGAGTACATATACATGGTGTGATGCACTAGGCTGGCCAAGAGCTGTCACTTGCTATGATTAGTTTTACAATAGC